AAACTTTTCAGTAGTGGTGATAAGCCTCTCTGTCTTGTTCCTGCGTTTGGTGGAAATAGCCTTCGTTCTTTTCCATTATGTATACTCTTTGCTGCATTGTTTTGAGTAGCTGGCGTATACTGTGCCCTGAAGTGCAGTAAGTTTGTGTATTAGCTTTCTGATGCTTTGACAAAGTACCTGAGAAAAACAACTTAAAAGGTGAAAAGGTTTATTTTATTTATTTATTTATTTTTGTCTTTTTGAGACAGGATCTCGCTATGCAGTTGAGGCTGGGCTTGAGCTCACTTTGTAGCCCAGGTTGGTCTCGAACTTGCAACAATCCTCCTGCCTCAGCCTCCCGAGTGCTGGGATTACAGGCATGTCCCACCACACCCAGCCCTGAAAAGGTTTATTTTGGATCATGTTCTCAGACGCTTCAATCCATGGTCACTTGGTTCCACTGCTTTGGACCTGAGGTGTGAGTGGGGAGCACTGTGGTGGGAAAAAGCTGCTGACACCTTGGCTGCAGGAGGTGGAAGCAGAGGCAGAGAACAGGGTGCGAGAATAGCCTTCAAGGGCATAACCCAATTCCCCAGTTCTTCCAACTAGGTTCCCTAAAGTTCACGCCACCTCCAGTGGTGCCTCAGGCTAATGACCCAGCCTTTACCTTTTGGGGGACATCTCAGATCCGCACCCTAACAAGTTGGAGTCAAAGGAGAAGTGTCTGGCACCCAAGTGGAGAAGAAGCCTTTGGGGGACTGAAGGAGTGATTGATTATATACGTAAAATGCTGAATGGGTCAATTAAGAGAAAGCCTGAGAACAGATCATTGGATTTGAAAACATGGTGGTCTGGTCGCCCTGAGAAGAGCAGTCTCCAAGAAGCTGAGGTTGGAATGGGAGGAGAGAGAGTGGAGACAGGGAGGGGAGGCACATTTTGTTTTGCCAGGTTTTGTTAACTGGAGAAGACAGGGGTCGAAGGTGTGTTTTAGATTTATTTTTTGTAAAGGTGGAAGACATTAAACCAGTTTTGAAAGCTGCTGCTAACCCAGGGCCTTGGGCAAACTATATATTCTTCCTCTACCACTGGCTATACCCCCAGCTCCAAGCAGGGACAGTTTATTTATAGTGAGAGGAGGGAAGTCAGAATGTGACAAACAGGGACAGCTGTTGGTAAGTGGGCCACTGTGGTCATCTATTGCTCCTTTTTCTCAGTGTACTTGAAGATTTCCTAGGAGATTTCACTGAAGGTACAGGTTTAAAATAACCAGCCTATAGCTAGAACCATGCAACCCAGAGAGCATCCTTGTTCCTGCCCCCAAAGACCTGCGCCTTCTAGAGCCCAGGCTGTGAGGATATCCTAGACCTGTTCATCT